GCCTTCCACAACCGACTGATCCGACAGGATCTCTTGCCATGTATGAAGCCGGGATGATCGAAGAGGTTGCGAGAGACAAAAACCTTGCACTCGGCGACTCCGGCAGCTTGAGGGGCACGACTTATAACAACAGCGTTCTCCCTCGATGCAGAGCAATGGTGGAGGCCATTGGACAGCGCATGGCCTACGAGGCAGCCCGGGCGCAAGGCAACATCGCGCCCGAGGTGCTCAACGTGTTTGAAAAGTCTTGCATTCAGAAGGATCCATCCTGGTTTGTCGAACATGGCCACGGCACTCGATCTGCGTTGCGGGACGACGAGAACAGGGCATACTCCAACTTGCTGCCCCTCTTGCCCACGCTAATGGAAAGGGCCAATGCTAAAGACTACATCACTGCGCCGTTGGTTGAAGAGGGAGACATGGAGGACTTCATCAAGGCCCTGCCGGCTTTCGGGGCTCGTACGGACGACGTGGTAGCAGAACAGGCCCCAAAGTCGAAACTTTGATGTAGAAACAATCCAAATGGTTTAGTTCTATCACTTGCATCTTTCTTCTCGCCATGTCCCAAGGTTGCACATCGCCGCGGAGATGAGCGCGAGGGCAGGACGGTTTGTATGGTTAATTTTGATGGTATGAGTCTAGCGTCCTTTCTACTTGCGGGGCCGTGACATGACGCCCCGCGACGGATATTTTTATAGCATAGAATTCACTCGCAGTGCTAGCTCAAAGATATCGGCGAAAGAACCATATTTGGAGACGTACGTATTCGGGGTTTCCTATCTACTCAGCTTATGTGGAGACGGGGAAAAGTCCGAATACAAGGTGAGAAAGATGGCGCTGATCAAAAACTGGTAGATGAACACTCGCCCACATCCTAGTCCTTCGGACCTGGGGCTTGGAATGCAGACTCGCTGTACGGTCCCTTCTCCATTCCTACGAGCCCATTCTCGGCTACGTATTCCCTGGCGTCGATCGGAAAGTGCCGTAGCAGGTTCCGGAACTGCTGTTGTTGGTTCTCCGATATGGGGAAGCGGTCGTCTCCCGCTTTGCCACTCTTAGCTAGAGCGATGACCAGGTCCTCCTCTTTCTCTGCAGGGAAGGCGTTCATGGCGCGCCGCCATTCGCTCTCCAAACGAGGCACGAGGTATTCAAAAATGTCAGCGATGCAGCCGTTTCCTTCGTACGGGTCTTGGCTGATGTCCAGGGTAGCCTTGGTCAGCTTGCCGTACTTTTCCGACTTGGGAAAGCCAAATTGCGTAATAGGTACATCAAAGATGCGCCGCTCATCAAATAGCCCGCCATACGACGCAGTAAGCTCGATGTTGTCTTTGTTGTTTTTGCTTGAAATGTCGATGGTGATCGCATAGGGCAGGGCTATGTCAGTCCTCAAGGCGGGTTTGAAGTCGAGTCTGCAGTTCCGCGTCTCGCCTATCGGCGGCAGGACGTCGAGTAGCTCGTTCCAGAGCCACCACAGCAGCGGTGCCGAAGTCGAGTCGTGGATTGGTTTGGAACAGAACCTTGTGATTACGCAGAAGAACTCGTCTGCGTACATTAGGCACGGTAGTCGAAGCAATTTCTTGTCCGCGAAAAGCGCCTTCTTGATAGAAGGAGTCGTCAGCGTTTTTGCCATCTTAAACCCAAATCGCCCTACGAGCTGTGATATATCATCGGCAGCCTGTTGGATTTCGCGCAATAAGACCGTGGGCTCCGGTGCTGACGGCATCACAACAAGCTCAGACAATGTACTGTCGTGGGTGAGGCTGGGGGTGTAGATTCAATAGATGCTAGCACCGTCTGTGAGCATGGCCGTCGAGGCGGTCCTGGCCCTACCACCCTGATCAGGTATCTTGCCATCGCCGACGGAAAAAGGTGGAATGTGAGACATTGCATGTATACTTTGATCTCGCAAGCAAAAGGTGCTTGAATTGAGCAGGAAATTGGCGATAGATAATGCAGACAAGAGTGTGCAAAAGACTGCAGGCTGCCGACACCTATGTATATAGT